GTTATTCTGTAAATTTAATTCCAGTAACTACCTGGATCACATTAAAGCATATCTACCTTAAGCATATAGAGAAGTTTAAACTAATACATTATCTCCAAATAAGTTATTTGAAGTTCTGAAAACACAGAGGTGAGAGACTGAAAATTGATGATTCTGAAATACTTGCTTAAAGACAAAGAATTTTAACACAATCATTTCTAAGATAGAAAACACATCAATAAGAAGCATTTAAAAATTTACAAGCATAATTACTGATCATGGTTTTAAAGAAGAATTAAAATCTAAATTTTAGATATTAAATTTTTTGGTCCAAGAATGTTTTAACCTAAAAATCATCAACTATCTTTATCAAGAAGAAATCTGAACAAAAATGTTTCATTTTAATACTTAAAGTTTGAGTTAAAGTTAAAAATTAATATCCTCTGTGCATATTAATAATATGTTAATATCATATATTAATAATCCTCTGAAAGAGTATATTAAGATAGATATGCTGATAGCTGTACTACCAGATAAAAGGACCAATCCCATTTGGCAAAAAGTAAAAAAGACCTGCTTGCCTACTATTCTCTAACTCACTCATAATTTGACACATATAGTTATGCAACAGCAAAGTACAAATTACAGCTCACTATGAATTGTGGAGACTTCCTCCCTCATAATCTAAAGCAGAATGAAAAAGGCCCCGAAAACAGCAATCTTCAGCTTAAATTAATTCTGATAAGAGAAATCTGTAATGGATGAAGGTTTCAAAGTGTTAAAAAAAAAAAAAATTCAACTGATTTTATGAAGGAAAAATCACACACCAACTCCCTCCCCCTCAACCACACTCCAATGAAGCCTGGCTGACAGCTTCTGTTCTGTTGTTTTTTAAAGATTGCATAAGTTTAATTATTAAGTATACTAAAGGTCATGCTTCCGTCAAAATCTAACAAACTAACAAAAATTAAATAAAATTCTTCTAATCAAAAACATATTTTAGGGTGCCTGGGTGGCTCAGTGGGTTAAAGCCTCTGCCTTTGGCTCGGGTCATAATCCCGGGGTCCTGGGATTGAGCTCCATGTCGGGCTCTCTACTCAGTGGGGAGCCTGCTTCCCCTTCTCTCTCTGCCTGCCTCTCTGCCTACTTGTGATCTCTGTCTGTCAAATAAATAAATAAAATCTTAAAAAGTAAAAAAAAAAAAAAAAAAAAAAAATTTAAGTCCTAATCTGTATAAATGCTCATATAAAAATAAAGGAGTATAAGAAAAACTAAATAGTCACAGAATTACAGTACACTATGGGAAATATACAAAACTAGTACACACCAACAGAAGCAGGAACAAAATAAATACATTTTGTTTTAAGTGTTTAATTCTATCGCCTCCTTCCTTTCTCCCCTTCAGTCTTTAGGGAAATGGTATATCAAAAAAGAACAGAGAAGAGTTTCCCCTTGGTTGGATTCTTGGGCAGTGGGGGGAGGGAAGGGTCACTTTGGGAAGGGAGAACTATGTAAGAGATGAATCCAGAAATTTCCAGGCAAAAGGAACAAGGTATAAGTAAAGGTATTTTAACATCCTGTTTCAGGAGTTAAATTTAATTCCAAAGCACAAAAAAAGATATGGAAGGCCATGCAAAAGAGCTGAATCTAAACCAACTTACATGCAGTGGAAAGCCACTGAAGGATTTTAAGCAGGAAAGAAACATGATCAGATTTCTTGCAATACACTGCAAAAGGATAGTTAAAAAGTCATTGCTAGGGCACCTGGGTGGCTCAGTGGGTTAAGCCGCTGCCTTCGGCTCAGGTCATGATCTCAGGGTCCTGGTGATCGAGTCCCGCATCAGGCTCTCTGCTCAGCAGGGAGCCTACTTCTCTCTCTCTCTCTCTCTCTCTCTGCCTGCCTCTCCGTCTACTTGTGATCTCTCTCTGTCAAATAAATAAATAAAATCTTTAAAAAAAAAAAAAAGCCATGTAATACGGAGGGTCTAAACAGCAGGAAGAGAATACATACTATATGAAAATTAGAGCTAATCATGGTATACAGAAGATAGAATCCTAGGGAGAGTAGAGTTAGAGAAAACAGTTACATGTCTTTTGTTTTTCTTCTCATTTCAATACATGATCTAATCATTAACTTAGAATCTACGTAAGGAATTCAATGACCAGACATATAAAAAGAGGTCCTCATTACAGAATAACTGAAATAACAAAAAGCAAAACTGTCTTACATTTAAATAATCAAGTTAATAATTATGGGGGAACAAAGTTACTATGACTGGAACTACATACTATTTCTTAAAAATAAAGAAAAATAGGGGCGCCTGGGTGGCTCAGTGGGTTAAAGCCTCTGCCTTCGGCTCAGGTCATGATCCCAGGGTCCTGGGATCGAGCCCCGCATCGGGCTCTCTGCTTGGCGGGGAGCCTGCTTCCTCCTCTCTCTCTGCCTGCCTGTCTGCCTACTTGTGATCTGTCTGTCAAATAAATAAATAAAATATTTTTTAAAAAAAAGAAAGAAAAATAAAATACTGATAGTATAACATAACATGTTTAATTTCACATCTTAATCTTAAGGGTCATTTCCTAAGAGTCCTTTAGGGCTACATTGTTTTTCCCAAGTGTCTCTCTTAAACCTTGATATTCAAATTACTTGTTCCACAAAAATATCAAAATACTCTTTAAGTCCTATGTTTGCCTGTTTTCATTTCTTCAACTATTAACTAAGTTAACTCAGCCAGAACCTTATCTGACAACAGCTTTGTATAGGATTTTAGCAGTTCTCTGACAAAGTTTTCATAGACTTTATGAAATCCTGAATCTTTTGTAAGATCTGCTACTTTTTTTTTTTTTTAAAAGAATTTATTTGACAGAGAGAGAAAGAGGGAGAGAGCAGACAGAGCACTCACTGAGCAGGGAGCCCAATGAGAGACTCGATATCAGGACCCTGGGATTATGACCTGAGCCAAAGGCAGACCCTTAACCAATTGAGCCACCCAGATACCCCTGCTTATTTTATTTTATAATCAACCATTTCTCATCTCTTCCTTCAATAAAATCCTAATCTAAGACATGATCTCCTCTCTTCCAGACTGTATTTGCTTCCAAACTTTTACCACACTTCCAGCGGCAGAGGGTTGGGACAGAGTCTCTTCTCTATCCCCCACATGGGTACCCCAATAAACATTTTAAAATCTAAATCAGATCCTGCTCAAAACTTTCCCATGATTTTTCTTTTTTAAAGATTTACTTAGTTTTGGGGGAATGGGGCAGAAGGAGAGGGAGAAAGAGTCTTAAACCGACTCTGCCCTCAGGGCAGTCTGACTAGGGGCTCACTCTAATGACCCTGAGATTACAACCTGAGCAGAACCCAAGAGTGGGACACTCAACTGACTATAGATCCTGGGGGCCCTGACTTTCTATGATATTTACACTTCATTCATCTGTCAGCTTAAATATCAACTCCCAGAGAAGCCTGAGTATGCAAACTGACTGGAACTACATGCTATTTCCAGTCTTAATATGCCCTGATCTTTTTAGCAAACCCCTAATATGTTTAATTTTTCTTCCTAATGTACTACTTACGTACTTTATAGTACTACTACTACATCATATATTTATTTGTTTAGTATCTCCCCAAGCCTCACACAGACACCTCCTAAACGGTAAGCTCCATTAAGGGCAGGGACTATGCCAGCTATATTCCAACAAATACAATAGTGCCTAGCCCATATCAGAGCCATTCAATAAATAGAGCCAGTTAAATTAATATAATACTATATTGTCACATGTTACTAAAACCCACCAGTGAGAGACTGAATAACAAACCTGGACAAACAGAAAGAAATGCCACCATTAAACAAGAGAGAGGACAATGGGAACTGTCAGTGAATATTTTGTGAGATGACAATTTTTGCTTACCTGCATACACTCACATAGTATTCCACTGACAAAGATCCCATGTATTTCAGAAAGGGAGCATCATTAACTTAAAGGTAACAATATCCCACAGACTGAGTCATTCCCAGGTGTTTTAAAGAAAACAAAATATAAAGGAAAAAAGTTGAATTACACGGCTAATATGACTCTAGAATCCACTAGAACTCACAAGGATTCTCCAAAAATGGTTAATGAGGAAAATATCAAACACCCAGGAACCTTCATTAACTAGAAGGTCCCCTGTGCCCCTCTCTCCACAGATCAAACCAAGCTAGATCCACCAGAGCCTTCCTAAACTGACACAGGTTTTGAAGGCTGCTGTAATCACTTGTAGTGGCACTGAACTGCCTAACAATTCACATCTTATTCTAAAACTAGTTGTTTGAAAAGAGTCCACTGAGCCATTATCTTAAATGGATTAAGAAGATAAAAACATGTAAAACTGCTCTTACTTTGAACACTTCAAGCAGAAAGTTCAAATTCCAATTTTAGGTAGAATATATTTCATGAACTAGAACTTCAGAGCTAGAAGAACCATGGACATTTACTGTACTTCACAAATACTTAATGAACAAGGCCAGTCGTTACTGCTACTCTAAAACCCAGGGAAACAATCACAAGCAAGACAAATACAATCCCTGTTCTAACAGAGCATATAGAAGAGAACACAAATTAAGAGCACAGAGTAATGAAGAAAATACCCAAGTTTTTAGGGGAAAAGCCCAAGGATTTACTTCATCAAATTTCTCCCTAATATTACCTACCATTTTTCATCTTCTCAAATTATAGACTTTTAAGGTCATTTGCTTTTAACTCACAAGATATTTAAAGCTACTATTATTTCAAGAAATTCACCAAACTTTTAATCCAACAGTGAATTCATAATATTACAATATTCTGCTGTTCATGGCATGAAAATTCAAAGCATTAAGGAAACAGATGGGCCATCTGAATCTCATTTCTAGATAATGACCAAAAGCAATTTCTCAGGGGTTTTGTACATTACATGGAAAAGTTCCCAAGGACTAGTACCATATGTGCATTTTGCAACATAAATCCTAAGTAATTACAAGTTTGAAGCTTTGTACCTGTGTGATGGAGAAGGAGCTTCAAATTGAGGTACTGTGCTATCCTCACTGACAGGAGAGTACAAGCCGCTCATTTCCTGAAAACACAATTATTTGAGTTATAGTGGACACTCCAAACAGAAAATATGTAAGTCAGATAAGTGAGATATATTACGTTCCCTTCCAATCCTAGATTTTTATCAGTCACATTTTTCTCAACATCCCTATTTCTCAAGGGTTCCTCTCCTCAGAGCACAAAAGCAAGATATCTAAAAGTTGAAAGACAACTTTTTCTATGGTACACATTCTTAAAAAACTAGAAACTCTTTAATAAATATTGTTAAGCACTAAGGAAGCCACCAAATGCAGAAAAAGACAATGTAAATATTTCAAATGAGATATACTATATTGTACAATAAGCTAATCATTAATCCAAGAGAGAACCCATTGATAAATATAACTATGAAAGTATGGTACGTGAAGCATTAGGTTCAGCTCTTTGAAGTCCAAACAGGGTATTTTGTTTACTTTAAAAACATCCTCTGAAAGCATTAAGTAACAGTCATCCTGATTCAAATATTACCATTTTAAAATAATGACTTAGGGCTCTCTGCTCAGCAGGGAGCCTGCTTCCTCCTCTCTCTCTGCCTGCCTCTCTGCCTACTTGTGATCTCTGTCTGTCAAATAAATAAATGAAATCTTTAAATAAAATAATGACTTAAAGTCTAACGCATTACCTCAGAGGGAGAAGTCTCTTAATCAACCATTATTGCATAAATTATGCACCTCCGAATCAAACCAACAACCTGTCCTTTTTTATGTGCTATTCTGATCAATGGGAAAGCAGAAATTTTAAAATCCCACTAAAGATACATAATCAGGTAGAATTACGTCTGTGTAATCCAAGCTCAGTTCAGTAACACAGCCAAGATGGGACATAAGCATAGTAGTAACAAGTTAAGAATGCCACATGGGATAATGAATTTCCACAAAATATTAAACTCGAGATCATTTTACATGTCTACATATCAGCAAAAGAAAGTTACAACATGTGAACAATTTAAAACACACACTAAATTTAAATGAAGCTCAGAAAATAATATCACAACATAATAGCCTATGAGCCTCCAAGAGATCTTCCTATTGATTTCCGTAAATTATATTATACTATAAATGCCTAGAGTATTATTCACGTGTTTTCATAACTCTTTGTAAATTAACCTTAGCAGAGTAGATACATAAAAAATTATTTACTTAGTAAAAGTAAAAAAAAAAAAATTCATTAAAATTACAATGTCTTTTACTACAAAACAAAAAGACATCGTAATTTTAATGATAATTGAGGGTTTTGTGGAAGTTAAGTTACTATGATACCATACCAAGAAAACTAAATGATTTTTTCAATCTACCCAAGAATAATTATGGCAATAAAGCAGTGAAAACAAATTTAGAATACATTTAATCATAAAGTGTTCAGAATGCTTTTTCTACAGAAATGCACTCTGAATTAAAATTTAAGTAACATCTGTTACATTTTATATAGTGGAAACAAATCCCATAAATTCAATGCAGTAATTTAAAGGGAAAGTGACAATTTCACGAAACTGAAAATTGCTAGAGATGTGAGAAATTCCTGATTTCTTACTTCCACTCTTTTAATATCCTCTTCCAAAACACTCAGCTCCTTCTGGATCTGTTCCAGTTGCTGTAGACAAAATAGAGAGGGGGGATAAAAAGCTTAAACCAAATCACACTGGCATCACCGTGATCATAAAATAACTTTACACTTGGAAAATAATTTCTAGAAAATTGGACAGTAACAACAGACTGCAGGGATGAAAAACTGCAGACAAAAAGAGCTGCAAGTTCTATGTTAAAAAATACTGAGAAACTTAATGACTTTATTCATTATTCAGATAAAAATGATCAACAAAACTGACAGTGTGACTTAAAAAAAAAAAGGAAACATACAACGACTTTCCAATTACCTCATTTGGTTGCAATTAATGTCAGCACGTGACCTATTAACTCCATTTTAAAATAAAAATTAGTTTCACAGAGGTTATAGCCAAAAACAATCACAAGTTAGCATCTTAACATTTGTCTCTTAAGCATTTTTTAAGACATGTTTAAAGATAATGCTTCATCTGGGTGCCTGAGTGGCTCAGTCAGTTAAGCATCTGCCTTCCGCTCAGGTCATGATCCTAAGATCCCAGGTTCAAACCATATCCCCCATATCTGGCTCCCTACACAGCAGGGAGTCTGCTTCTCACCCTCCCTTTACCCCTCTCTCTGCTTATGCACACACTCTCCTTCGAGCAAGCTTGCTCTCTCTGTCAAATAAATAAAATCTTGGGACGCCTGGGTGGCTCAGTTGGTTAAGCAGCTGCCTTCGGCTCAGGTCATGATCCCAGTGTCCTGGGATCGAGTCCCACA